ACCAAATGGTGGGTAGTGGTGGTCTGGTCTCACCTCACCACTCCCAACTTCTTCCAGCCACACCGGGTCAGATGTCATGTTACTTTCTTTGTTTCTGGGATTTGCATGAGAGGCGTACCTCCCCGCCTCTCATTATCATATTGTCTCTATATAATCTCATGAATGTGTTTCTTCTACGCTTCCTGATTGAAATCTGGACCCCTCAGGAGCCCGAATCGATTCGTAAACTGCAGAAAATAAATTAAAAGCCTTCGAAGGAACTGTTCATCGCCTCCAGCCTTTATTTGGATTACCAACATTCTCCTCGTCCGAAATTCAACGAACACGCGGGGAAGAGGAGGCCCCTCTGACCCCAACAGACTTCAATTATTTTTTTCTTTGTGAATCAATTTGCGAATCAGTGACTTCATTTGAGGAGCGGCTTTCTAAACTCGGGGAGCATGTTTTTTAAAGTTAATCCTGGGGATCTGAGGCCATTTTTATTTTTAATTGAAGATTAAAAATAATTTCAAATATAACAGCATAATTAACGAAGAATTGGCTTTCTTTGTTATTTGATGAACAGTTGTTGTCTTTGAACTTAATATCAATAAATTCGTAGAGCGGTGCATGTGGCGTAGTAAGAGGAGCAACTCCACAATGTTGCCGCATGAGTCGTTGGCAGAAGCTTGTCACCAGCTACCTGGTACGGCGTAATTAGCTACTCGAGCCTTGACCTCTGACTTAGTAGTTGTTGTGAGAGCCGCACGTGCATCCAGCAAAGCCAGACTTATTTTGATTGCGGTTGAGTCTCAATTTTGCTATTCGGTGGGTTTTGATGAGGCGATAAATGCAACATTTGTGATGGAAACCGCTTATTTCAAGCCTTGTCCAATTTTTAGCAAGTACATTATTCTTTTCTTTGATATTGTGAAAATAAGTTTAAATGATGTTTTGTGCCATAGGATAAAGGATAGAAATAAGGAAATATGCCTGTGTGTATATTGTTAACCTGTCTTTGGATTTGTTGATGGACCATTTGTGTATAAATATTCGTTACATGACATCGCAACATAGATACTATTCATTAGCCTGTGTGTGTCATTTTGAATTGTGCGTTAGCATTAAGCTAGCTGAAGGCAAACGTTTGTGGTTGTTTGACATGAACAAGTAAATCTCTTTGTTTTATGTTTAGTTTGACAGTAAGCAAGCTAGGAGCGGTAACAAACAGTTTGAAGCCCCTTTTTGGGGAGAATTATTTGCAATCTTTCAAACTGCTGCTTATTGTAAAATGAGTTCACTGTCCATGCCGTGCTTGTATCACAAGGTTTTTCTTGCAAGTCAAAGTAAATAATGTTCTGAACAATGGCTCATATCTCAAAGATTGCAGACGTCGGCTCGCTCGTAGCTCAAGGCACCCTTAGTTCTCGCCACTGTCAACGTTGCATGTTGATTCGATGGCTATACATCATGCTGCAGCTGTGTGTTAACAGTGCTGTGTGTAATCACCGTTGACAGCAGTGTTATGCTATTGATGAGGCTCAGCTCAAGAGACTGTTGTGTCCCATGCAAAAAAGGCATCGAAGCACAGAGGCCAACACTTGCAGCCAGCAATCACTTACCATCTCTGGCACGCTCCCAAATGGATATCACAATACACAAATGACTTTATACTCATCTTGGGTGGATAATGGATTGACCCATTTGGCCAAAGTCAAGTGACTCCTTGTTACTCACCAGCCTCCTCATTCCGCCGAGGTGACGGATGTAACAAGAGCTGCTTCACCTCATTACATTAAAAGATCTGCACACGCAAACCAAAATGACTCAGGGGAATCATAAAAATAGCTTCTAACATGGTGTGGGGAGAATGCACAAACAGCGTGCCAACTGCATTCAAAAATTGAAAATATCGGTTTTTATTGTTGTTTTTAGCAGGCATGGCATCTGAAGATTGTAGCCAATGTCTAGTGTCAGTTAAAAGGGGACCCCTTATTATATTCATATTACACATAAACAGTACCAATTCAATGACCTCCTTGACTGGTACAGCAACCGGGTGCCAATCAAGGCAACCACTTCAGTTAATGTGTCACAACTACAATCCTGTACTTCATAATAAAATACTTTCTGTGACAATGATTTTAAAGTACAGTAGTGGAAGGTTCTCCTTATTATTTGAAAAGTTTCACATCTGATGAATTAAATTAGGCAGGACAGTGGTCAATTGGTTAGTACATCCTCCTCACAGTGCAGGTGCAGGGTTTGATTCCGGGCTGCAGCCTTCCTGTGGGGAGTTTGCATGTCCTCCCCCATGCCTGCGTGGGTTTTCTCCGGGTATCCTCGCACGTTCCAAAAGCATGACTGTTAAGTTGATTCAACACTCGAAACTGTCCTTCTGTGTGATTGTGAGTGTGAATGGTTGTTCGTCTCTATGTGCCCTGCGATTGGCTGGAATCCAATTCAGGGTGTCATAGGCTCCAGCACCCGCGCAACACTCGTGAGGATAAACGAGTCAGAAAATGGATGGATGATGAATGAGGAACAAATGAACTGGCTTAGAAATGGCACCTTTTATTAGCCGGGGCGAAGGTGGTGGTGCTAAAGCAAAACTTGGGGTCTGTCTGTCTGTCTGTGGTCATGTCTGAATAATATTTGTCGACTGTTTTCATTTGTCATTATGTGTATTCAATTGATATGTTTGAACCATAAGATTATATACGGTAATGATATTCCTTTCTGCAGGAGAGTCTGGAGTACATCTTCATGATCATCTTCACATTAGAGTGCTTTCTGAAGATTGTCGCATATGGCTTTGTGTTCCACGACGGTGCATATTTACGGAACTGCTGGAACATATTAGATTTTGTCATCGTCTTCATGGGGTAAGATTTGACAGACTGTAGAATGGGAGGTGTCGTCGTCAGCGTGGCATGGGAGGGCTTACTGTATGGCGAATTTCTTCCTCCAGTCTGGTCACCTTTGCCTTGGATACCATCAATACGATAGCAGGAGTTCCCATGGAGAAAGGAGGCGGCTTTGACATGAAAGCCCTGAGGGCCTTCAGGGTTCTGCGACCCTTGCGCCTTGTCTCTGGAGTCCCCAGTAAGAACCTGATCTCTCCAGAAAGTTGATTACGTTTGATTGTAAATGAGGAGAACCCTCTCTTTTTGTTCTTGCTGTTTGCATCCAGGCCTGCAGGTGGTGATGAACTCCATCCTCAAAGCCATGCTTCCTCTGCTGCACATCGCCCTGCTGGTCTTCTTATTGGTCACCATTTATGCCATCATGGGACTGGAGCTCTTCAAGTGCAAAATGCATAAAACCTGCTACTACACGGGCACAAGTACATGGATGTGCATGCATGCTTGGCTTGTGTAAGCAGGCCGCGTTATGAAAAGTTGACACGATTCTTGCCCTGGTTGGCCTGCAGATATCTATTCAACCGCCGAGGGGGAGATACCTGCACCCTGCGCTGAGGCCGGGAACGGACGGCGCTGCATGATTAACGGCTCCGAGTGTCGGCCGGGCTGGGAAGGTCCCAACAACGGCATCACCCACTTTGACAACATCGGCTTTGCCATGCTTACAGTCTACCAGTGCATCACAATGGAGGGATGGACTAAAGTTCTCTACTGGGTGGGTCATTGCTCCTATGACACACTGATGCATCGTGGCGGTGTTTCACAGCCTTTAATGAGCAAAGGCCCATATTTTACATGATAAAAATATTATGAAACACCCCCAAACAAAAATGTCACCAAATGTCTACCCGAAATTTATACCTATTTTGAGAAAATGATAACTTTGCAGTGGTCTTGATGTTTCTTTCAGATAAACGATGCCATCGGAAATGAATGGCCTTGGGTCTACTTTGTTCCTCTCATTCTTGTGGGCTCTTTCTTTGTGCTCAATTTGGTTCTGGGTGTCCTCAGTGGGTAGGCTGACTCAGCACTTAAAACTTGATTCCTTCGTTTTCTCCACACGATTGCGATTCACAATGTTCTCTCTCTGTTCAGTGAGTTTACCAAAGAGCGGGAGAAAGCCAGGTCCCGAGGAGAGTTCCAGAAGTTGCGGGAGCGTCAGCAGCTGGATGAGGACCTGCACGGCTACATGGAGTGGATCACCCATGCTGAAGTCCTGGATGCTGACAGGGAAGGCAAAGGTCAGCATCAAAACAACAACTGCAAATTGAATGGCCTGAACATTCGTTTGTCACATTTTTGAACAGAATATGCAAGCAAGCATGATTTATATACTGGAGCACTTTTCACAATAAAAGAGAGACACAAAGTGCCTCACAGAACTATTTTGTGAATTAAACACATTTGTTACTTGAAACACTGTTCCCCAAATCATCTCTCCCCACTGAAATCAATCGGGATGCTTTAATTTGCTTCAGCCTCAGCACCCCCCAAAAATGCTTGTAATGTGTTTTTGATGAGAAAGGTAGCATTCAATAATATTGTACTTTATGAAAACATACAGCAATGACATCAGTCAAATGCAAAGAATAAACAGTTTTGTGTTGCTCCTTCTGGTCTTTGCATCTTGGCCACCTGGGGGCAGCATAATACAAGGGTACGTTTGCCCGTTCACCTGTTGACATATTGGGGCAGTTATGGCAAGCCTGGCAAGCCGGCTTGCCATATGCAGTCATAGAGGATGGATATGCTTGTGAGTTTAATTCCATCCATCCATCCATCCATCCATCCATCTATCTAGTTCTGGTTTCATTCCTTTGTTAGGTCTCCTGCCTTTGACCAGTGGGGATTCGGACACTGACAGCCTGTACGACCTGGAGGGCAAGAGTCGAGTGATCTACTACTAGTGAGTGCGCTCCTTTGACTGTACATGTGCACGTGTTGATGTGCCCTGTAACTAGACCCATTTTCGTCCGAAGTCGCTTGGCTCGTCGTTGGAACCGCTTCTTCAGGATGAAGTGCCTGGTTTACGTGAAGACCAGAGCGTTTTACTGGCTGGTGATGTTCCTCGTCCTCCTCAACACGCTGACCATCGCCACCGAGCACCACCACCAGCCCGCGACGCTCACTTCAATTCAAGGTTGAATAATGGCCATTTGGACATTTTCCACAAATGGCGCCTCCCAGCTGGATTCATTTTTGTCTCTCCTCTGTCTGTCACCAGATGTGGCGAGCCGTGTCCTCTTGGTGCTTTTTGTCATCGAGATGTTTGTGAAAATGTACGCTCTGGGTCCCCGGGCGTATTACATGTCGCTGTTCAATCGTTTTGACTTCTTCGTGGTGCTTTGTGGCATCCTGGAGATGATTATGCTGTCGGTGGGAGAGGTGACCCCGTTGGGTTTCTCGGTACTCAGGTGTATTCGGCTTCTGAGGATCCTTAAAGTCACAAAGTGAGTCATGCAAATTACGAAGTTTCACTGACACAACATGAGACATATTATAACTATTCTTGCAGGTATTGGACCTCTCTGAGTAACCTTGTAGCCTCCCTGCTCAACTCTGTTCGCTCCATTGCCTCGCTGCTCCTCCTCCTCTTCCTCTTCATCGTGATCTTCTCATTGCTTGGCATGCAAGTGTTTGGGGGAAAATTCAACTTCCCCGACAACAGGCCCAGACGGAGTAACTTTGACAATTTCCCTCAAGCGCTCATTAGTGTCTTCCAGGTAAGATGTTTCCTCAGACCAAAAATCCAACATATTTTCTTCTAAAACCCGTCGCTGTGTCCCAGATCTTAACAGGAGAGGAATGGACAGCCATTATGAACAATGGCATCATGGCCTATGGCGGACCAGTTTTCCCTGGCATTCTGGTTGCCATCTACTTCATCATCCTCTTTGTCTGTGGAAACTGTATCCTGCCCAAAACTCCCTTTTGGGATATTTGAGAACGGCCATGAACAGCACCATGTTAGTTTTCCTGAACTCGGTCTGACCAGACATTCTTCTCAACGTCTTCTTGGCCATTGCGGTTGACAACCTTGCCGAGGCTGAGAGTTTGACCTCGGCTCAGAAAGAAAAGGCAGAAGAGAAGTTGAGGAGGAAACTGCTGCGGTGAAGCAATCATTGACACGGCAAGAAGGTCAAAATGAATGTCTGCATTCAATCTTAACAGGACTGAACTCCCCATCTGTAGGTCCAAAATGCCCGACAAAACAGATGAGGAGAGGGAGAGGATCTCCAAGAAATTGGCTGAGCAGCGAGCCAAGATTGAGGGCATGCCAACGACAGCCAAGGTTCATCAAGATACACACATATTAAATGCATGTAACGACAAGAGTCATGTGTATTTATTGGTGAACATGTCCTTTCATCAGCTCAAAATCGATGAGTTTGAGTCCAATGTCAATGAAGTGAAAGATCCTTTCCCCCCTGCAGACTTCCCAGGTAAATTCAAGTACTTCTGTGTTATCCTTCTGAGGACAGTTTGAAATGCTACGCCTGATTTGGGCAGTATGCTATGACATCATGATTTACTGCAATGAAATAATGTCTTGCTCTTGGCTTTGTGCGCATTTCTTTCTTCTACATTCGAGGTGACGATGAGGAGGAGGAGCCTGAAATCCCCATCAGCCCTCGACCACGACCCATGGCCGACCTGCAGTTGAAGGAGGAAGCCGTTCCGTTGCCCGAAGCCAGCTCTTTTTTCATCTTCGGCCCACAAAACAAGTCGGTGGCAAACATATGTGCCCAACACCCTTTTTGCCATCTTGCTGCGCACGTTTGATTGTGTGTGTGTGTGTGTGTGTGTGTGTGTGTGTGTGTGTGTGTGTGTGTGTGTGTGTTCTCATTCTATTCACTGGTGTCCAGGTTTCGTAAACTGTGCTACAAGATCATCAACGCCTCCTCTTTTACTAATCTCATCCTGCTGTTCATCCTCCTGTCCTCCATCTCCCTGGCAGCGGAAGACCCCATTGATCCCAATTCTTACAGAAACCAGGTGCCGAGCAGTTCTCCCATTCAAGCGTCACATAACCTGTCCAACAAAAGCCAAGCAACATCCTTGCTTTCTGCATTTTGCCCCATAGATTTTGGCCTATGCTGACATTGTCTTCACGACCGTCTTCACCATTGAGATTGTACTGAAGGTAAGTGGAAGAGCAAAAGGCTTCTTTGGTGGATTGGATGGATGGATGGATGGATGGATGGATGGATGGATGGATGGATGGATGGATGGATCAAATGACAGACCGACATATAGGAGACTGAATGGAAAGATGGCATGATGGGTGGTGAGATGGATGGACATTTGGATGGATGGATAGAAGGATAGATGATTCATTCGTTGAAGTTCCTCCAATGCCTTCATGGGTGGCTGAATGAATAAATGAATGAAATCGTGGTTGTATGAAGAGATGACTTCCCAGTTGGATCCATGGATGAAATTGTGAATGCATGAAAGGAAGCTGAGTTGTTGGGCATGGGCAAGAGTAAAGGATGAAAAGATGTAATCATGGCTGGAATCCCGGGTAAAGTGATGGAGTCCAGCTTGTATTTCCATCAAATGCAAGTTCTGTTTGAGCAAAGACGTTCGGCATTCAAGTTTTGTGCCGTTGTCTTGTGCCATTTATCTCTGTGACAGATGACCGTTTATGGGGCATTCATGCACGAGGGCTCATTTTGTCGCAACTCCTTCAACATCCTAGATCTGATTGTGGTTGGAGTCTCGCTGCTCTCTATGGGCATGGAGTAAGTAACCTTTTGGGATTCTCACATCAGCACCGAAATGTCTCAAGTGTTGTTCTTTTTTTGGCTTTGGGCATGCACCACATAGAGCTGCTTGTATCATTTGTTGAATTCAGATCCAGTGCCATCTCCGTGGTGAAGATTCTCAGGGTGCTCAGGGTGCTGAGGCCTCTCCGGGCTATCAATCGAGCTAAAGGCCTAAAGGTTGGTGCAAACTGTCGCCACAACTCAGTTGCCATCCGAACTTTTCCTCCATACTTCTCATTTGTGTCCATGTGCAGCATGTGGTCCAGTGTGTGTTCGTGGCTATCAAAACCATCGGAAACATCGTCCTGGTTACCATGCTGCTAAATTTCATGTTCGCCTGCATAGGTGTGCAACTTTTCAAGGTTGGTGACGCTGCACACTGTTAATGTAAACTTTTTTTTTTTGTAGCACCCAATACAACGCATATCGTTTCCCTCCTGTTCTCTTTACGATAGGGCAAATTCTATAGCTGCACGGACGCATCCAAAATAACAGAGGAGGAATGCCAGTAAGGCAACTAAGCTTATAGCTTGAGAAACACATGCAATTGCTCATTTATGGCCATCGCTGACTGGATATCTGATCTCAGGGGATTCTTCATCAAGCACATCGAGAATTCTCTGCAGGACACGGTCGTGGCCAAACGCGAATGGCTGAACAATGACTTCAACTTTGACAATGTGCTCTACGGCATGCTGGCTCTCTTCACCGTTTCCACCTTTGAGGGCTGGCCCAAGTAAGTTTTCACACCTTGTGTTGAATAGACAACTGTGGATGATACAGATAATGTCTACGTTTGAATCAAATAAAAAATGTTGGCTTTGTTTTGTAGAATAAACTGCTGACCCCATAACTCCAAATTCTAAAAACAAATATGGCCATTTAAGCATTTATTTGGCCGGAAAATGAAAAATGGTCAAAATAGCTAAAAAGTTCCAGAGTTACTTTGGTTTCTCATTTTTTCCAGAGCTGTATATGTATTACATACTCTACATGTTGTTGAGAACTATTTACATTTTCTTAAAAGAGATACCAAAAACGTGACTGAGCCGTTCCACCGAATCACTGCTATTTGCTTGTTGTAACTCTCTCAAAGTCAACTTTAATTGCTGTCTTTATTTTCCAACTATAACTCGGATAATACACATATTAAAATTATTATGGGCCCATCTGAGGCAACAGTATTTGACGTTATTGTTTTATTCTAATGCACCTGACTAAAAGTAACAGGAATGTCTTTTAGAATGAGCAAATGCCTGCATTTGTGCTAATAGCGTGTTGACACTAGCAAGCACAAAACCGCAAATCAACAAAAAATATGTACTTAAAAATAAATAACGTGAAAAAAATAGGCAATGGTACTATTTGAAATATTGTTGACTGTAGACAAATATAAATGAATCAATTTATCATTTTTGGTCTTCCTATGACACAACTCTCTGTCGACCATGTGACTTGGGGAATGTTCCAAAATTTTCAGAGGGGCAAATATGTCAGGTCAAGGACAAGAGTGTACATTTCAACTCAACTGTGTGTGTTTAAGCAAATGTACTTCACGTATAATTGGGATGAACAACACAAATGTATAAAAATTATTTTCAATTGCAAGATTTAAAAGATCATATTTCATGTTAAACTCTAACTTTAGGACGTCAGAAGAATAAACAAAAGGCATTTAGTGAATTTCAACAAATCATTTACTTGCATGCATTAAAAATGTAATCGGATCAATGTGCGGGTTGCTTTACTTGTTTTAGAAGAATATCAAAATATTGAACCGTTTATTTGACCATGCATTTATACATTTTATACACACACACACACACACACACACACACGCGTGCGCACTTGTTTCCAGACTCTTGTATCGAGCCATAGACTCGGACGAAGAAGACATGGGGCCCGTCTTCAACAACCGGGTGGACGTCTCCATCTTCTTCATCATCTACATCATCCTCATCGCCTTCTTCATGATGAACATCTTTGTGGGCTTTGTCATCGTCACCTTCCAGGAGCAAGGCGAGCAGGAGTACAAGGACTGCGAGCTGGACAAAAACCAGGTGCACTGAGTCTCTTTTGGACCAGACTTGCCTGATCTGATGTGATGAAACATTTTTTTTTTCTTTTAATATTGACACTCATCACTTTCTTTGAACTTATCTGTTCCCTTTAGCGCCAGTGTGTGCAGTACGCCTTGAAGGCGCGACCGCTGAGGTGCTACATCCCAAAAAACCCGTACCAATACCGCGTTTGGTACATCGTCACCTCCTGCTACTTTGAGTACCTCATGTTCTTCCTCATTATGCTCAACACTTTGTGTCTGGGGATGCAGGTAGGTCAGTTCAGTTCATAGTGCACCCTAGAAACACGCACGAGAACAACAAGACAAGAGTCGGTGTGGCTCATTATTGAGACAATTTGTTTTCCAAAGACAAAAATGTTAATTTTTGTCAATGCGCTGCTGTATGTGGAACAGCGTTCTGGAAGCAATGCACTCCCACTCACTGACATTGAAACACTCCTACAATGCACTCTCACTCAATGGAGTCAATTCAAAGGAACTTGGAAATTGAAGGGCGCTCTACATAATTAATGTTGAATTCATTCGCAATAATGTGCTGTTAAAAAAAGCAGATGCCACTGATAACAAATAGTCAATCAGATCAAGTGTTTAAGTAGCTGGTTTATTTACTGGGAAGGTGAAGTCAAGTTTATTGGTTCTCCCGAGGGCATTCAGCGCTCAAAATAATTCAATAACCCGTTTTGACTGAGAGGAGTGCTTCTCAATTATTTGCTATCCCCCAAGGAAGAAGAAAACATTTCGCACACCCCCAACACTCCGCCCAGACTATAAATAGTATCATTTGTCTCTGAAATTGTTCTAAGTACACCTCTGCATAGCATTGTACTTTTATAAACCTAAAAAGAAAGAAATATAGGTAAACTCACAACAAAGAATAGCGGCATTGATGAGGTGAAATATTACACTTGTTGATATGCTTTCACGTCGATGTTTGCGCCACTGTCTTGTGTCAGCAGACACACGGACATGTTCTGAGAGTCGTTTTGGATGCTCTGTGTCCTTTGCACAACAGCACTGTGACCAGTCAGACCACGTGACCAAGCTGTCGGACATTCTCAACTTGATCTTCACCGTGCTCTTCACCGTGGAGATGATTCTCAAGCTCATGGCCTTCAAAGCAAAGGTCAGCTCGGTTTTGGGAAGCCCGAGTCTGACCAATCGGATGCAGGTTGTACTCGCTCTTTAGCGCTTCATCGTGCGTCTGTGCACAGGGTTACTTTGGAGACCCCTGGAACGTGTTTGACTTCATCATTGTCATCGGCAGCGTCGTTGACGTCATCCTGATTGAAGTGGACGTGAGTGAATGCAACTCCGTGCTCCCCGAACGCGAGTAGTATTTTCAGGTGTTGAATAAGAGCTTCCCAGGCAACTATTGTGAAAATGACTCGATGTACTCTATGTATTCACTGCTCTGACCCAGACGCGTATAACCGCGGCCCCGATTGGTGCCAGCACAACTAGTTCACAGAATATGGTCAGTAATGTTGTTGGCCATAACAACCTCCACCGCCATCCTCCAGAGAAGCATTTTTTTGGTCACCGCGCCACCAAACACACCCATTATGCCCACAGTTCACTTCCATTTGGAATGCTGATGTGTAACTAGACAAGTGAGCACAGCACTGATTGCTTTTATTGATTTATTTTGTCAATGTATGTGATGATGTTGCACAATGGCAATTTCTGCGGGTTGCAGATTTTCACCGCCGTCTCCTCATCCCGCACGCACAGACACGCTTTTGGGCAGATTCAGACACGGCAGTGGCACTCACGCCTTTTCTGGCTTTTCCACCCGTTTTCCTCGTGTGCTCCTTTGTGTTGGGTTGTCTTTTCCCGCAGGCGACACAAATGTGCTCCGCGTGACGTCTCACTTGACGTGTGTCTGTCATTCACAGAGCGCCCTCGCTTCCAGTGGAGGACTGTACTGTCTCCAAGGCTGTGCTGTAAATATCTCATCGTCACTGTTGCATTACTGCATGAGCAGACTGTGTCACGGGGAGCGACCCTCTTCTCCTGAATGTTCTCTACCAACCCAACACAACTGTGTCTCTAGATTTCGAGATTTGAAAACAAGAAGCATAATCTTCCAAAGAGCTCTTAAGAGCACAGGCAGCCTGCCAGCTGTCTGAGATGCAAAGGGCTGGACTTCACTACCACACCAATTTGCCAAAGCAATTCACTGTAAAATCACTCTGAATGACATGTGACAATTGATTTCAATTAAAAAATGCAATCATAAAACATATTCAAGAATGGATGATTAAATGTAGACCCCCAAAATACTGGATGTGCACATTGTGCACAAGACAGGTTGCAAGTGTCCCTGTGACTGCAGACTGCCAGGAAACTGGAAACGTGATAAGGGGATACAAGGACATTTTTCGGAAATAACTGCAATATGCTAGGAATGTACCAAATTGTAACAATAATAATAATAATAACATAGAAGAACATTGTTAAAAGTTATTTAGGCAAATGTGTGGGCATAGCCCCCCTTGTGCTTGGTTTCATTTCTTGCCTTGTTCCAATGTAATCTCTCTCTCCTCCGTTTTACAGGACACGAATCCCATGCAAGAAATAGCAGTAAGCAGCCATTTTGCCATCATCAATGCACATCTGTTTGTCTCATGTTTCTTGCATTATTCCCACAAAATGCTCTTGTTACCAGGCCTCGGAAAACGCCTCCGTTTCGATCACCTTTTTCCGACTCTTCCGTGTCATGCGCCTGGTGAAACTTCTGAACCGCTCCGAGGGCATTCGGAACCTCCTGTGGACCTTCATCAAGTCCTTTCAGGTGCCTCTCAACGCCGTGGCCACCCTCGCATTCAAGCTCCTCTGGTGACCAAGCTAATCCTTGTCTTGTCTGCGTCTTCAGGCTCTTCCCCACGTGGCTCTGCTCATCGTCATGCTCTTCTTCATCTACGCCGTTATTGGCATGCAGGTTGGGTCCGAAGTACAACATCAGCCGCCAGCTTCTGCACGCCGACATGCTGAATTTAGTGACATTATGACAATGTTTTAGATTTTTGGGAAGATCGCCTTAGTGGACGGCACCGAGATCAATCGCAACAATAACTTCCAGACGTTCCCTCAAGCAGTTCTCATGTTATTTCGGTGAGTTTTCGCTTACCGCTCAGCACTCGCGCAACGATGGGGAAAAAGCAAGTCAAGAACTGCCCGCGGTCCATCTGCAGATGCGCCACTGGTGAAGGCTGGGAGGAAGTCATGATGGCATCAATGTACGGGAAGAAGTGCGACCCCAAGTCTGACTTTCAGCCTGGAGAAGAGTACACCTGCGGCTCCAACTTTGCCGTCTTCTACTTCCTCAGTTTCTACTGTCTCTGTGCCTTCTTGGTCAGCATTTGATCGATCTCCTTTTTGCAATGGCCTCATTGTTTCTCAAGACGGCATTCAACAACAAATGTCGCCACACTGTGCAGATCCTCAACCTGTTTGTTGCTGTCATTATGGACAATTTTGACTACCTGACGCGTGACTGGTCACTGCTCGGCCCGCACCACCTGGATGAGTTTAAGAAGATTTGGGCTGAATATGACCCCGAGGCCACGTAAGCCATGTTGACACACAGACCATTCACAAAACAGCTCACCTTTGGAGCAAAACTTTATTTGACCATCTGCGAATGAACATGTGCAACTGTTCATTCAGGTGTCAGTGCATGTTGAAGGTGTTTGTGTGATCTGACAGAGGCAGAATTAAACATCTGGATGTGGTGACGCTGCTGAGACGCATCCAGCCTCCTCTGGGCTTTGGCAAGTTCTGCCCTCATCGCGCAGCCTGCAAGGTACACAAATTGACAATAGGCGATACCGGCCAAATGAAGACCAACGGAAGGTGCACCAACAGGGGTGACTTTAACCCTTTCAGGGACAGTGGTTAACACAGTGCACGTCTTATCATGGTGGTTAAAGGGTGCTTGAAGGGCTTAATCTGTGATTAGCGCAAATCAGAGATGAGTAAAACTGTCCTTAAAATGAGTTAACCAGTTTTAAAATTGAGCAGGGTTTGAAAAATAATGTCAGATTAACTGAAATTAAACTGAGTTTGAACTGATATAAATAAATAGGGATCATTGTGAATATCAAAGATAATTCATTACGCCATTTAAAAACTGGGTGACAACACTGGAAGTGTGCTGTCACGAACCCACGGCAAGTCCTCAATGAATTTTTTGCTAGCTAGCAACAATTCATTTGTAAAAATGATAAGCTCAAAATCTGAATGCATTGACGAGGTAGCGGATCGCACTCTGTTTCGTTCAAGACTCAAAATCATGCAAAAAAAAAAAGTGATGTATATCTATCAACATTTGCAGTTTTGGTGGTTCGTAAATATTATTTGTGTTGTCATTATGTCCGCAGCGATTGGTTGGCATGAACATGCCGCTCAACAGTGATGGCACGGTCACCTTCAATGCCACCCTCTTTTCCCTGGTCAGGACAGCACTGAAAATCAAAACAGAAGGTGGAGCTCATCGTGATTTGTCATAGTCACAGTCACGGTCTCGCGCGTGTGTGTGATTTGCCGACGTTGATCACTTTTTCTTCCGCGCAGGAAACTTTGAGCAGGCCAACGAGGAGCTTCGAGCCATCATCAAGACCATCTGGAAGCGCACAAGCATGAAGTTGTTGGATCAGGTCATTCCTCCAATAGGCGGTGAGTGTGCCAACCACATCAGAGGCTTTCCAAAGACTGAATGCGTCTTCCTTCTCAGATGATGAGGTCACCGTGGGGAAATTCTACGCCACTTTTCTACTCCAGGATCATTTCCGAAAGTTCCTGAAGCACCAGGAAGAGTACTACGGATACCGGCCAAATAAGAAGAGTGCCTCCGGACCGGAGATCCAGGCAAGGGAGCCCTTCGCCTTGGAAGGAGTTGAATGGGTCTGGAATTGTCTTGCGATATCGTCACGTGTCCTCTTTGTGATCCTGCAGGCAGGTCTGAGGAGCATCGAGGATGAAGTGACTGCAGAAATGCACAGGGCGATTTCCGGAGACCTGCAGAATGACGAGGACATGGACAGAGCCATGCAGGAGGCTGCAGAGGAGCACATTTACCAGGTGGGGGAAAACACTGCCACGTCGGCCGCAGTACACTTGCCGCAAAAGAAAAGTCACCTTTCCGAAAAACAGCTTCCATTCTGTGGGGAAGATTTATACCAATAATCGGTTGAGAAAGATTTAAGGTGTGCACAACATGATCAATTGTGGCCATGAAATACTTGTCATGTGCGCGCCAAATGCGTGGGGCTTTGGGGTTAGAGGTTAAATTAGGGATTGGGGTTGAGTTTGGGTTTGGGTTAGGATTAGATTGGCGGAGTTGGAGTTAGGGTGCGTGTTAAGATTTGGGGGGGTTGGGTTAGGGGCTTTGAGGTTAGGGTTTAGGGTTTAGGAGTTAGAGGTTAAATGAGGGTTAGGGTGCTCGGAGTTGGGGCTTGGGTTAGGATTTAGGGGTTGGGGTTAGTGTTAGGATTCAGGGGGTTAGGGGATTAGAGGTTACAGGTTGGGGTTGAGTTTGGTGTTCCGTTTAGGGGGTTAGGGTTAGGATTGGGGGTATGGTGTATGTTAGGGGATTAGGGGGCTAGGGATAGGGCTTTTGGTTGGGGGATTTGGGTTTAGGATTAGGAGGTTTGGGTTAGGGAGTTACGGGATAGGGTTAGCGGGTTAGGGTTAGGGAGTGAGGTTTAGGGTTAGCATTCGGATTAGCATAAGGGTTTGGAATTAGGGTTGGGGTTTCGAATTTGGGTTATGGTTTCAAAGTAGGGTTACAAATTAGCGTGAGGATTTCAAAGTCAGGTTTGAAAGTATAATTAGGGTTTCAAAGTATGGTAACAAACTCGGTTTAGGGTTTCAAGGTTCAAATTCAGTTTGGGTTTCAAAGTAGGATTTTAAAATAGGGTTACAGTTTCAAATTTGTGTTAGGGTTTCAAAGGGGGGTTTAAACTAGGGTTAGGGTTTCCACTTAGTGTTGGGAGTTTCAAAGTGGGGTTTCAAAGAAGGGTTATGGTTTCAAATTTGAGTTTTAAACTCAGGTTAGGGTTACAAAGTTGGGTTTTAAACTAGGGCTGGTGTTTGAAAGTCGGTTTTAAACTAGGGCTATGGTTTCAAAGTAGGGTTCTCAACTAGGGGTAAGACTTTAAAGTATAGTTTCAAACTAGGGTTCGGGTATCAAACGAGTTTCAAATTCAGTTTCTGATTTCAAAGTAGGATTCTAAACAACTTTTGTTGTTCATAGTGGGTGACACTTGTTGATATTTCCAGCGTACGCACGGCTTGTTTGGGAATCAGATTGAGCCGTTCTCTCCCGAGAACGCCAACGCTCCGCCCCCGCATATGACCAACCAGAGGCCCCTCAAATTTTTGGAAAACCAGCCTGAGCCGGCACTGATTGCATCCCCCACGGAGCCCGTCGTCGACTTTCTCCCGACAACTGCCCCCAAAAGCAACGTCAACAACAACGCCTTTGCGGAGTGAGCAATATGCGCCCGTCCTCACACAAGACGAGTCTGACTGACTGTGGACATCCAGCAGCTGACGAGAAGCTTCTTGCTGTCTTTCAGATTGGCTTTGCCAACTCGAGGCAGTCCTGAAGACTTGGACAGTCTCAATGAAGATGTCGAGGGAGGTACGGCCCCAAAAAAACGGACCGTCTACAGAGTTCTTCGTTTGCACTTGCTACAACCCTTGTCAGCTTTTTTGACAGCACATTTCAAAGAAGGGAGGAGGTCACGACATGATGTGATCACAATTATGTTGCCAACTGTTCCGATCGTACTCCAATACGTTGGGAAATCATTGATAAAAGCCAAATTGAGGCTGGAGGAAGATTCCTTAATAACAATATAATGTCATGAATTTTCCTCGCTGGATAAATACACTGTGTGCCTGAGGATGAAAAAAAAATGGAAGAGTTGACAGAGGGTCAAAATGAAGTTCACATGTTAAGCTTAGACTGCATTTTAGATTCACCTGGAAATTTGAGTTTTCGTGAGCAGCATAAATTGACATTAAATGTTTATTGGATGTCTTTGTCCTTTTAGACAACCTCCACTCGTGGGACTTCACAGTGAGAACAGACAGAACACAGGTAGCATGTTTGGCCGGTGTGCACAATATGTAGCATGTGAGCAGCTGATTAAAAAAAAAAATTGAATAAATTCCTCTTTGCAGTTCCCCTACGAACCGAGGCTCAGCGACAGTCCGAATTCTGACGATGTAAGTGGCAACAGGCTTTTCCTTCATCTGTCAATCAGCTGCTTGCAGATCTTCCACTTTGTCTCCCAGGCCAGGATGGAGATGGCCGACGACGAGCACACCACAATCGAGGACCTTGAAGGCGCGGCTCGGGCTATCCTCAAGAAGAAGCGACGTGTACCCGTACCTCCTCGCACCCCCACGCTGCCGCCGCAGCAGTCGGAGCGGCCCGACCCGGCCGTGAGGAGGAAGAAACGTCCTGTTCCCACGACTCCCGCCGCTCACCCTCAGCGCAGGGCCGGGCCGCCTGAGGCCGACGCCAACGTTTAGAGACGTGACCACGCACATGCCGATCACGTGACTTTTTCATACACGTCCGCAAGTTCATCGCTGACGGAGAAGCACTCCATTGTGACGAAATAACGTCAAACTGTTTTTCTCCATCTGTGGTCATTTGAGTCAGTCATTATCCATGACATCTTCTTGGTTACAGTCACCAAGCTGGCAATGCAATTGTTAGTCATGATGCAGCTCAGATTGAAGTTCCACTTCTGGCTATTGCCATGACTTTTACAAAGTTTCGCGAGAGTGGAGTGTCGAATGTTGTGCGACCTCACACACGGTTCTCAACTGCAGGAACGTTGTTGACATTCATAGTTTTGCAGATTGTTTTGGTACAACTCCAAATGAGGCCACTGTATTTGATTTAATACCTCTCTGACAAATTCAAAGTCGGCATCATTATCTGGCTAAGGGCAAATTATTTCGCAACACTGTAACTGAATTGTCGTAAACACTTGCTGCTGTTCAGTGAGAAACAAGTTCAATGTTGCAGAACTGGTAAGTGCCGTAAGACCTATTCAAGAGTGTGTTCTATCTTTGGTGAAGAAATATTGTCTGAGGATATTTTTGCATGTTAACAGCTGAGGGTTTTTCTTGATAGTAAGCAAACAATGTGGTTATATCAGCCCACGTTTGCGCCCCCCCCCCAAAAAAAAATCATGTTTGCATCGTTAGCTCAAAGCTCACCGAATGACAGACTGACTTTTCGCTGTTCATGTTTTGCGCAGAAATGCCAACTCGTTGGGGACTATTTAATATTTGCCATTTGTGACGGTACTGTGAAACTGCAATCGGTTTTCCTTTTTTGGTGGGTTGGGGGGGGCTACTATATTACTCTGCTTTTAATCATAGCATAGGGGCAAAAATGATATTTTCTGTGATGACCTTTACTTTTTTTCTGTAAGCAGAGTGAAAGTGTCACATTGCAACACCGATGAGTGACTGAAGCGCAAGGTCCATTTGTGGCAAGGTATTCTATGTTACTTGTGTATCTAATAAATTGGCGCGGCTGTGAGTTTGCTTGGACCCTGCTGCCCCATGCAGAAGTTTCTCCTTGTAAGGCAAGCCCCTCTTTAAATAGTCTTGATAAGCAAAGTCAATTCTTGTGATGGAAAGGAACGGATGTTGCTCATATCAAACCAAAGTGAAGCTCCTGTGCACTCTGAGGAAAGACAATTCCAATAAACCATCCATCCATTTTCCGATCCGCTTTATCCTCACAAGGGTTGCGGGGGGTGCTGGAGCCTATCCCAGCTGCCTTTGGGCAGTAGGCGGGGGACACCCTGAAATGGTTGCCAGCCAATCGCAGGGCACACAGAGACGAACAACCATCCGCACTCACACTCACACCTAGGGACAATTTAGTGTTCAATCAGCCTGTCATGCATGTTTTTGGAATGTGGGAGGAAACCGGAGTACCCGGAGAAAACCCATGCAGGCCCGGGGAGAACATGCAAACTCCACACAGGGAGGCCACAGCTGGAATTGAACCCGCTACCCCTGCACTGTAAGGTCGACGCGCTAACCACTGGAGCACTGGGCCACCTTCCCAATAAACGCTTGAGTTGGAAAGCAAAAGGGAGAGGATTTTAAACAATTCCATTTTTATTTGCAGAAAGTTACACAGTCGATAAAAGACACCAGAAAGAAAATTGCCTCACTCGCATGGAGCTTTCCATTTGCCTAATGGACATTCCGAATTTGGCTTGGGGGAATAGAAACCCATTGCTCTTATTAATACTATTTTTCTTTGTGATGACTGGTGGACTCCACAATCTTGCACAAAGCCATAATCATATTTTAACACCAGCATGCTGATTAAGCGGCACAAGCGAAAATCTAAAACTCAAAACTTGACATCGCACCCCTGATGATATAAAAGTTCTGAAAATCTGCGCATGAAACAACTGTGCATCACTTTTACTTTCTATGCATTTCCAGGTGATTCTCAAGAAAATTAAGTGAAAACAAATGTTGGAGTCATTTGTGTACATACAATCTGGCTGTAACTGTCTACGGGACAACCGTCAACTACTACTACTATATATAAAAAAACAAAAAAAACATTTCCTACCACAGCATATCCAAACATACATTATAAAACAGTGATGGTGAAATACGATGCTACAGGATACAGAACAAAAAGAAGGAATGAACATTTTGGGAGAGTTTATAGTGACAGAAAAGTTGGCCCTACTCGTTGGGATTCGGGTTGGCGTCAGAATACTGGGCGAGGTCAAAGGTGAGCACTTTGCTGATCACACAGTCGCCTTGCTGTGGGTGGGGAAAGAAAAAAAAAGAGACAAGATATGCCGTGCAACTTTAGCTTTGAGCTTGATAATCAATCAATTGCTCTTAAAGAATGACGTTAAAAAATGCAGAACCTATTGTAACCTATTTTGACATCATTACAGGATGTTAAAGAACATGTGGCTAACCAAAAGCTACACACCTCCGGAAAAACCCCGATGAGCGAGTCCGCTTTGGTGTAAAACTCCTCCTTCAGGGAGATGACGATGGCCTGGAAGTTTTCCATTGATTGGTCTTTGATGTAATTGGCCACCTTAGAGGGCAACAAAGGATTCATTTGCAACGCAGACGATAACGACGACGCAAATCACGCAGCAATCAGTGACAGACCTTGCCAATGTTGGTGTTGTCGAGCGCGGCGTCAATCTCGTCAAGCACAAAGAAGGGGGCGGGTTTATAGCTGTGGCCAGGGGGAGAAAAGTCAGCCAATGAGGCCTTCATGAAATATTTGTGCTCAAGGCTACCTTGTTTGTCTGACCTGTGAATAGCAAAGAGCAGCGCCAGGGCCGCCACAGTCTTCTCTCCTCCAGACAGGTTATCCATGGGGCGGAAGCGCTTTCCAGGAGCCACGCAGTTATAGTTGATGCCGTCCAAGTATGGCTCCTCTGGATTTTCCGGACCGAGGAAAGCCTACGAAAGCAATACGACTTACTAGTGACGGGACCCAAATCTGGGTTGCGTCACAAATTTCGGAACACCGCTTCATGTTACAGGACGTCTGCGAGTTAAAGGAAGCTGAGGCAAAGGCTTTTTCCATCCTGGTTGACGTCATTAAACATGACCAATGGTTTGAAAAGTAAACATTGGGTTCCAGTATCAGAGATGAAAGTGGACTTTTCTGAAAATTCCAGAAAAAATAAATAAATATAAATTAAAATTTTTTTT